GATGTTCCCTAATTTCCACCCTCTCAATCATTTCTGTATTTGAAGTTAACAATAAATCTAAAATAGCATTGTTTCTCGTAGGTTCCTCGAGTAATTGGTGAAGAAAACCATCCTGAATAGTTCTAAAAACCTTTCTCCCTCATGGTTTCACTCTGGCATTTCCCAAACTATATGCCTGAAATTAAAATCACCCATAATTGTGACTTCACTAACAGCTGAAATCTTTATATCGTTGTAAAATTTCTCACTAATTTCATCACTATCATTTGGTAGTTTGTAATGAATTCCCACTAAAATTATTTTCCCTTTATGTCCACTAATAGAAATCCAAATTGACTCAATCTCCTTGCTATAATATTTGATATCCTCAACTTCAACACGATGTAATTAACATTTTACATATAAAGCTACTACTCCCCTCTTTAATACTCTATCTGTATTAAATAGCCTGTAACCCTGTATTTCACAGAAATTTCTGCCATCCTTAGCATGTAAGGTACAGCATGCCAGGTCTCTGGGACCCTTCTGTACTGTCAGGGCTAACAGAAGGGTTTGCGACAAGCTTTCAGATCAGCAAATGTATTAATTAGTTCCCCATAGTTTAACTTTCGAGCAGATGTACTTTTGATGGAGAGCATTGCTAAAGAAGAAAGACTCTCATCAGCCATGGTTGACTTGTGAAATGTTTCGATTAATTTCAGTTTGCTTTCAGCACTTGCTACCATTACCAGAAAAGTAAGAAGAACACAAAAAGCAATGGATAAATTTTGATACATTTCCTTCGGTTTCTTTTTGAAGATATAATTCAAAAAGTCGTGTGCAGATTTCAGTTCCTTTTCATTGTCTTGAACAACAGTCATGAATCATTTGAGTTCCATTTCCAATTCATCTGTGTCAGTGTCACTCATCTTTCTCGCAATGAGATGACAGCTTCTTCTCATTGTGGATGCAAATGAGATTTTCGGCACAAATAAGAGACTTCACTTATCTGATTAAAATGTTCTTTCATGGAACTCAAAGTGTGGTTCAAAAGTTGCAGAAAAATAGCATTCTTGAACTGTTGTTCTGGAGAAAGTGTTCTAACATCATCAGCAGATTCATATCCAAATGATTTCCTTTCGAGCCAAAAACACACATCAGTAAGAACTTTCGACTTTCATCATTTCAGAGGTTTCATGTGCAGTGATGGAGGCATCAATAAAGCTAGTCTCATGGTATCACTGAAGAAACTTGTATGTTGCCTTGACCTAATTTTCCAACACATGGAGTGAAACTCTGTATGACTGTACAAGTTTAGTAGTAAGGGCCCCACTTTACAGGCGGAAGTTGACATGCTGCCATGACACATGAAGACAGAAGATGGGGAGGGGAGAGGAAGGTCATCAAAGATGATGAGGTCATAGTTCCAAAAGTTGCCACCAGAGGACGCGTCGTTAAGGGTGCGTTGCTAGACCACCATGATGTCATAGTACCAGATTTTGTCAACAGAGAGAGTGTTGCTAGATTGCTGTGACAGGTGGCTATGATAGATGATTACTTAATAGTACCACAAATTAGGGAGCGTATTTCTAGACAGTCATGACTAATACAATACATGTCTCAACAAGAATACTATTAATCACTGATAGGATTGTTAATCAAATTATTTATAATTAAATCATAATAAAAAGAACGTTTAAGACAAATTCATCAGTTAATTAATTCGTCTTAAAAAGAATGCTTAACAATAATTCATTAAATCATTTATAATTAATTAATCAAATCATCCTTAAAAGGATGTTTAACACTAATTCATTTATAATTAAATCATCAGAAAAAAGGAAGCTTAATACTAATCCATAAGTTAATTAAATTTCCGTACCATTTACATGTCCTAAAAGGGCGATATCTTAATCAAAACTTACTCTTTTACTACGAATCAAGTGTTTTTCAATGACATGATATATTGTTTAAAGTAACATAATCACAATTATATACATTTTTACCACGCCCACAATAAATGTTTGTTGGTTTAAATCGCCCAGAAAAAGGCGCGATATCATGCAATAATTAAAGCTTATTCTTTGACTTTATACAATATTTTACATCGTCAATAAAACGTTTATTATGCAATAACACTTTTACTAATTTGACTTTACACAGCAAAATAATTTACACATGTCTTACAAAGGCTGACTTTCACACACACACACACATATATATATTTAATTACTATTATTTTAACAAATATACTGTGACAATACTTCTACAAGTCACCAATGTCTAGATTTACTTATGTTACAATCCATTATCTGTAATAAAAATGATAAATGATTGACCTACCGTATCCCCCATTTTCTAAATAACCATTGATTACCTTCAAACCCACACAAATCTTGTAAAAGTATGGAATACATAACTTCTTTCAATGTTCTGTAGGACACTTACTATTTCACTTTCACAAATTCATATTGTTACGACAGCGGAAAGCGGAAGTCGCGTGACGCTGGGAGCATGAGTGCTGGAGTATCTAGAATTATCAGGGAACCCCATGAATGTCCGAGTGTTTGCTAGACGCCCTCTTTTTTAGTATATAAGTCTGGCAAAGAAGGTACAGAGATAGATTGGAGATATAGATAATTGTGTCAAGGGAACACTAGGCACTGTAAATAAAGTGTGTAAATCGCTGTGAATTATAGCATGTGTTTATAAAAGTAGTTTAGTTTAAAGTGACTGTGGAAATTCTGTTTATTACTAAAAGTTGTGTCAAGAAAGAATAAACTAGTTTTAATCAAGACAAGACTTGTATCGCTGAAGTTCTTCGGAAAGAATTTCTACCAAAAATTAACAAACAAGCAGATGCATAACAAATTGGTGTCAGAGAGTGGGACAAAAAAAATGATGGAAACGAGAAGTGGCAAATCAAACTACCACTGATACCATTTGATGGCAGCAATACAGGAACAGCAAAAGAAACAAGAAGAGCGAAAAAATAAACAAGAAGAGTGAGAAAAGAAACAAGAACAGATACAACATAAAGAGAGACTACAGCAGTATTTGGAGGAGAATGAAAATGAACAAGAAGAGAGACTACAGCAGAGGTTGGAGGAGAAAGAAAATAAACAAGAAGAAAGTCTTCAACAGTTGAGAGAAAGCCAGCATACCCAAAT